CTGTGTGAGACAGGAGGCTGGACTGGATGGACCACTTTTCCGATCCAGCAGGGCTCTTCTGACGTTCTTAGGGTTGTGCCGATTTTCATTAAAAATCCTTTCTTTCCTCCAAACACATCCCTTGTGAGCCCAGGAATGGCAGATTTGGGCTAAACTGAATTCGTGACCTGGATAGGCCTGGCTGGCCCAGTCTTATCAGATCTTGGAAGCTGAGCAGGATCAGCCAAGGTAGTCCACGATCACAACACGGAGGCCGTGGGAAACCACCTCCGACCATCTCTCGCCTTGAAAACCCTACGGGATCGCCATGACTTGGCTGTGACCGCATACCGGAAAAAAGAAGTCCTTTCCCCAAGGTGCAGATTTAACATCCACTCTGGGGTGGAGAAAAGAGGTCACACTACAGACCAGGGGTCATTTCCTGCAGGAGCGCACAGGAGCGGAGCTCCGGCAGTAAAGAGCCCATGGGGCGGGCACATGCAACAAGCCCTACCCCCGGCTCCCAGCAGCCCTCAGTCAGAGCAAGAAGCAGTCAGGTAAGCTGCAGAGCCCCCCCCCGGCCCCCCGGCCCAAAACAGTCCAGTGGCACCTTTAAGACCACATTTTACTCAGGTACAAGCTCTCCCTCCTCTGCGAGGACAGATCTGTGCGTTCTCCCCCCCCCCCCAATAACTGTCAGACCAATACAGAACAGTCCAGTGGAGCCTGAGCGGTGGGTGTTGCCTTCTGACACACTTCCGGTGATGCCAGGGGGTGTGGCATATGCAAATAAGTTATACTAATGAGTCATGCTAATGAACTTCTGCACTTCTTTTTCTACAAAATGACCCCTGCTACAGACTATACCCCCCCCTGCCTTCGCTTGACCTAAATAGTCCAATTCTAGGGTTCGATCAAATATGTCCCTGAGTAAGAAGGGCCTTACTTTAATCAAGTCCATCAGGAGAGAGGATTTAAACATCCAGTCCAGTTTGAGGTCCGTATTCTGTAGCAAATCCTCCAGGCTTCCTCGGGAGCAGAATTCCATCAAGATGGCTGAGAGGCTGCCGTCGGACAACAGGCCGAGAAAGGAATTCAGGTTCTCGTGACGCAGGTCCTTCATCTGGGAACAGAAGAGTAAGAACATCAGAAGAGCCCTGCTGGGTCACACCAGTGAGGGCCCATCTAGTGCAGCCTCCTGTCTCACACAGTGGCCAGCCAGTTCCTCTGGAGGGCCAACAACAGGGCAGAGAGGCTGAGGCCTTCCCCTGATAAGAACCTCAGGAGAGCCCTGCTGGATCAGACCAGGGAGGGTCCATCTAGTCCAGCTTCCAGTCTCACACAGTGGCCAACCAGTTCCTCTAGAGGTCCAACAACAGGGCAGAGAGGCCGAGGCCTTCCCCTGAGAAGAACCTCAGAAGAGCCCTGCTGGATCAGACCAGTGAGGGTCCATCTAGTCCAGCTTCCAGTCTCACACAGTGGCCAACCAGTTCCTCTAGAGGTCCAACAACAGGGCAGAGAGGCCGAGGCCTTCCCCTGAGAAGAACCTCAGAAGAGCCCTGCTGGATCAGACCAGTGAGGGTCCATCTAGTCCAGCTTCCAGTCTCACACAGTGGCCAACCAGTTCCTCTAGAGGTCCAACAACAGGGCAGAGAGGCCGAGGCCTTCCCCTGAGAAGAACCTCAGAAGAGCCCTGCTGGATCAGACCAGTGAGGGTCCATCTAGTCCAGCTTCCAGTCTCACACAGTGGCCAACCAGTTCCCCTGGAGGGCCAATGACAGGGCATAGAGGCCGAGGCCTTTTTCTAATATTGAGAAAATATGTTCTCATGAGAGAACGGCTCCGAAAGAACTTGTGGCTGACCCGAGGTCACACCAGCAGCTGCATGTGGAGGAGTGGGGGAATCAAACCCGGTTCTCCCAGATTAAAGCCTGCGCTCCTAACCACTACATCCTTTGAAGGACCATTCCATTCAATATGTCCCTGTTTAGGAAGGGGCCGTGGCTCAGTGATAGAGCCTCTGCTTGGCATGCAGAAGGTCCCAGGTTCAATCGCCGGCATCGCCAGTTGAAAAGATAAGGATGCAGGTGATATGGAAGACCTCTGCCTGAAACCCTAGACCACCACTACCGATCTGAGCAGTCAGTACTGAATTTGATGGACCAAAGTTCTGACTCAGTATGAGACATCTTCATGTCTATGCTGTGTGTTCTTCGTGTGAATGGGTGAAGCAGAGAGCAGGCAACACTGTTGAACTGCTGACCGGCCATTAGACAGTGATTAGTGTTTAGAAACACAGAAACAGAGAGATGGAAGGTATTCCCAAGGGTCATCTAGTCCAACCCTCTAATGCAGGAATTTCTGAGCTACCCCCAGCGACCCCTGGGCAATGCCCAGAGGAAGGCAAACAACCTCCAGGATCCCTGGGCCAATCTGGCCTGGAGGAAAATTCCTACCTGGCCCCAAAGTGGCAATCAGCATTACCAGGGGTCATTTCCTGCAGGAGCGCACAGGAGCGGAGCTCCGGCAGTAAAGAGCCCAGGGGGCAGGCACATGCAACAAGCCCCACCCCCTGCCCCCAGCAGTCCTCAGTCAGAGCAAGAAGCAGCCAGGTAAGCTGCAGAGCCCCCTCACCACCCCCCAGTCCAAAACAGTCCAGTGGCACCTTTAAGACCAAGTTTTATTCAGGTACAAGCTCTCCCTCCTCTGCGAGGACAGATCTGTGTGTTCCTCCCCCCACCCAAATAGCTAGCAATCCAAGACAGCCCAGTGGAGCCTGAACGGTGGGTGTTGCCTTCTGACACACTTCCAGTGATGTCAGGGGGTGTGGCATATGCAAATGAGTTATGCTAATGAGCTATGCTAATGAGCGCCTGCACCTCTTTTTTTTACGAAATGACCCATGAACATATAAGAAACATATAAGAACATATAAGAACATATAAGAAAGGGCCATGAGAACCAAGCACTGCCTCATCCCTTCCCGCCGGCCCTCTCACGATCTTCCTAAATCCACAGACGGCTGTCAGACGGCCCTCTGTTAATCGGTTAATAATTTGTGCATCGTATGCAAATGGCGTCAGCTGCATGGCTAAGCACTTGGGACTGACTCAAGGTCACACCAGCAGCTGCATGTGGAGGGGTGAGGAATCAAACTCAGAAGAGTATGCAGGAAACAATAAGGGAAATGGGGACGGAATACTCAACCTCCGCTTATTTGTTCGGCTTTCTGCTTGCTGCATTTTGGGGTATTATGGGTTGTTTTTTTTACCAAGACGGGTAGCCATGTTAGTCCACGTGTAGCACTAGAAAAGAGCCAGAGCCCATTAGCACCTTCAAGACTCACAAAAATTTGTGGCAGGGGAGGGGGTTCGGTGGGTGA